ACACACACACACACACACACACACACACACACACCATATAGAGAGGCCCTGGGTTCAATTTCTAGTAAGGGAGTGAGTAGGGAAGCATTTCAGGTTTCAGAGATTGGACTTCTTTGGCATCTATTTTCTCAAGGGTCTTCTAAAGCATGTTTTTGAAAATAGAATACTCAACTAAGAAATGATAAACAGAATGACTTGTGTTTATAAGCAGCATCCTTAAAAAAAAAGAAGCAAACAAAAAAGCCATCTATTTGATGTAGGCATCAGAAAATACATCCCAAACAGCAGTGTTCATACAAATACTTGTCTGTCAGTTACTTGTATTAAATCTCAGAAGTTACTTAAGTAAATATATATTTAACTATGTACAGTTTTTACAATTTACAGATTTTACAGCTGAAAATCAGTTGACTGTGAATGTGTGAAAAAGCTGGCATTGTTATGTAACACTTCAAAAAATGTAAGAACAGTTTTTACCTCAAATATTTTTCACCAAATAGCACCCCAAAATGCGAATGCTCACTTTCTCATTTTCTCTCAACAACAAACGTACCAAAATCGCTAGAAATGAGGTAGAGACAGTTGTTTATAAAACAGTGGAGGCAGGTAGAAAGCTTGAATCTTTAAAACCTTACAGCAAAGCCCCTTTTACCCTCCAATCCTGGGACAGTAGGTCCTGCAGTTCTCCCTCATCATCGCTGTCTGTATTCTCCTCTTCCTTTTTCTGCAGTTCTTTTATGGTCAGAACCTCTTTAAGTTTGTTCTTTATCTCATCCTGGCGATTCCGCAGATTCTCCACCCGACGGTAACATTCGATCTGTTCGTCAATCTCCCCAATCTGCCGATCCAGCCGTCCCTCCTCATCCTCCTCGGCAACGATCGCTTCGGAAATGGTGTTGACCTGTCTCATGGCTTTTTGAAACTCGTCCCACTCTTTGTCCATCTGATCTTTTGGAGCATCAACCTTTCGTACTTTGGCATCTACCTCAGGGTCATCAAAAAACCCTTCGGGTAACGCTTCTGCGGTGTTCTCTCTCCTTTCCACCACTTTCTCGTGGATTTCTGCTTTCTCAATTGACCCGGAATGAGGAATCAGGGGGGCCGTGGGAAGATTTGTATTAAAAGAACCGGATGGCAGCACACTCGACGCCTCCCGCGACGAGGGAAGTGAGGGTTCTTTGCCCTGTGTGTCGGAGGCCTGTTTGCTGCCGTCCTCCTCTCTCCCTTCTCCTTCACACTCCTCGTCATCGTCGTCCTCCTCATCTTCATAAGCGGGGAGTAAGCCGAGTCCCGAAGGTTTAGAGGAGGTGGCGGCTCTGGGGGACTCCTTTCCCGGGGGCAGAGCGGACGCAGAGGGCAGTACCTGGGGCGCCGGGGCCGCGGCCTTCACCCTCTTGGCCTCCTGACTCTCAGCGTCGGGCGCCTTCCTCTTAGAGACGGACGGAGGCGCTGTGCTTTCGGACGGCGCCGGGACGGCCCCCTTGGCGCCTTTCAGCTCGGCCACCCTCTCCCGGTGCTGCTTTCCCAGGACGTGGGTCTGCCACAGCAGCTCGCTCTTGACCGGAGTGTTACAAAGGGCACAACTCAGCTGCCCCAGACGGTTGTACTTGGCGAAGGGAGAGTCTATCTTCTTCCGGTTGGTGCTCTGACGCTGCTTCTCTTTCATCAACCGCCTCAATTCTTCCTGATTCACCACTCGCTTCCCCGCCGGAGCCCGGGAGGAGGCGGAGGACGCCATCTTCGCGACCAAGACCCCTAGACGTCTCTGGCTTCCGTTCCGGCGAGGTTCGATGGCGTCACTTCCGGCAGGACGCCGATTGGAGGAAGCCGAGAAGAGCGGGGCGGGGCGACAAGGTTTCTCCCTCCCTCCTTCCCCCCCCCCCTCTTAAGTTCAAGTTCAAGTCCTAGAACTGGCACCCAAACTAAACCAAAAGTTTGAGTTATCTATCTAGGCATGTATTTCTACCAGTGTTTTCACTCAGTCCCAAATAGCTAAGTGTATGCACAAAACCCATCATTTTTCATTAAGACTTTGCATTGTGAATGCATTGGTGAGTCCACATCTTGCTGGACTATCACCACATCCCTATGAGGACTACATATCCTTGATAGTGCAGCAAACAGAGGTTCAAATATATGACCTGCCCAAGATCATTAACCATTCAAGGCGGAGCAGGAACCTCATAGATCGTCTGTTGCCAACTGCCTTATTTTATCTATACTAATCTAGTAATTCTTACTATTACTAAAGGTTTTAGGCCTAAATTACATTTTTTCCTAAAACCTTTAATTCATCTCTTTTGTTTTCTTGTATGCAAAAAGTAGTCATTAATCTTATCTTATTCAGTGAAATACATGTATTTCACAAATCCTAAGGCACTAGATAGTGGTATGTCTGAAGGCTAGTTGGATCAGCATTTTTTTTTTTCTGGTCGGTCATGGGGCTTGAACTCAGGACCTGGAAGCTGTCCCTCAGCTCTTCAGCTCAAGTCTAGTGCTCTACCACTTGAGCCACAGTGCCACTTCCGGTTTTCTGGTGGTTAACTGGAGAAAAGAGTCTCATGGACTTTCCTGCCCAGGCTGGCTTTAATCGTGATCCTTAGATCTCAGCCTCCTGAAGTAGCTAGGATTATAGGCATGAACCACCAGCACCTGGCTGGGTTAGCATTCTTTTTCTTCCAAGTTAGGGGAATCTGTTTTTTTTTTGTCAGTCGTGAGGCCTGAACTCTGGGCCTGGGCGCTGTCCCTCAGCTCTTCAGCTCAAGGCTAGCTCTCTACCACTTGAGCCACAGCGCCACTTCCAGGGGGTTGTGCAGTTAGTTTGACAGCTCTTGGGAAACAGAAGGCGTTCATTTAACGTGTGCTTGAACTCAGGACCTGGGCCCTGTCTTTTTCTTTTCTAGACCGCCACTCTTATCACTTGAGCCACAGCTCCACTTCTCGCTCTCTGGGGGTTAACGGGAGAGAAGTGGCTCACGGACTTAACTGCACCCTCCGATCTCAGCCTCCAGAGTGGCTAGGATTACGTCCTGCTTTCCAGGCCCTCCCCTACCTCCCACCCCCCAGGCTCGAACTCAGCGTGGTGCACCCCAGGCCAAACGCGCAGGCATTGCCTTGCTTGCACCCACAGCCCTAAGACATCTTGTCTTGTGTTTGCTCGGCAGTGGGTTGTCATGGAAAGGGTTCATTCAGGCTTAGGAATCAGACGGGCAGGGGTTCAGATCCATATTCCATAGTCTTCCTGCTGTGAGTACTTAGGTTAGGCTTGTTACTTGAACGATCTATGACCATGGTTCTCCATGTCTCACAACATATACTTACTTAGCATCACTGCTTTCTCTACACAAAAGGAAAAGACACTTGTGTACAAAAGGCAACATCCTGACAGGAATGGGTAAGCTAATATCATTAGCAAAAGAGAGCCCTTCGTTACTGCATCGTGGGGAGCAGGTGAGCTGAGATCTGGTAGAACAAGCGAGCCAGTTATGTATCGATGCTGACCGTTATACTGAGGAGTAACTGATGGCAGATGGAAAAACTTCTCAAATAACACATGATGTTTGATCAAAGCCCTGAAAGAAGAATGAGTTCACCTTTTTGGAGAAGAGAGGGCATGCCTACTAAATAGATCCGTTTCCGGAGTGAGAAAGCTGAATGATATAAACCCAACAGAAAAGCATGATGCATTAGGGGAGCCAAAAGACTTGCTTGAGAGGTGATGGATGGAGCAGGAAAAGATTGGGAAAGGTCAAGAATGTCATTGGCAAATTACTTTTGATTTTACCTTAAAGGTGATGGAAAACATCAAAATCATTAAGGATTTTTTTGGTCAGGGAATTAACTTAGTTTAGGCTGCCTTTCGGGAAAATAGGATGTAGAGATTAAAGTTTAGAGAGAATCAGTAGTTGATCTCAGTAATCCAGGGTAGAGGTAGTGACTGAGGTTAGGATTTCAGACATATATAAGTTGTGAGCTTGACAGAGCTTGTTGACTAAAGAGAAGAATGAGGGAAACCAAATTGAATGACTGAATATTTCCCCCAAATAAGCCTGCAGGAAATGTCCACATTTATGCCATATGTAATAGTTACATTCTGTGGCCCATCTTCATAACCACCCTTTGAACCCCTTTGGAATGATAACACCTAAGTCCATCTGAGAAGTGATTCTGTGAGCTTCAAATGGTGCTGATTCCATGGGACAAGGGAAACTTTCCAAACCACTTCTTTATATTAAGAAAGTAGATGGCAAATATCAAGACTGTCTTGCCTTGTGAAGTTAATGACATCATTGTTCTTGGAACAGGCTTGTTTCTGGTGCAGGTGACATCAAACTCACCAAAGATGGCAATGTGCTCCTTCATGAAATGGTGAGCTGATACTGCCCTCCCTGCCATGCCTCATCTCTCCCTCCCTCCCCCCATACTGGCTTTTGAACTCAGGACCCTGTGCATGATAGGTGGCACTCAGCTACTCAGAGCCACACACCTCCAGTTCCTTTTGCTTTGTTTTTCAAATAGGTCTTGCATTTTTCCCTGCCTGGCTTTGGGTCAGAATCCTTGTACCTATTCCTCTCATGTAGCTGGGATTACAGATGTGACCACTGAAAGGATCCATCCCATCCATCCCAGGGGACCATGCAGAGGCAGGCAGGCACAGGAGAAAGATTATTACAAGGTTTATTAGAGGAGCCATATTTCCCCCAGAGAGGGAGCACATGGCAGCCTTCACTAACTAGGTAGCAGCAGGGTCTAGGGGTAGGAAGTGAGGTAGGTGGGAGCTCAGCTCGGAGAGAAGGAGTGGCCCGCTGTAGGGTGGGAACTCCAGGGCTGGGGGGCGCTCAGGTCTTGGTGGAACTGAGGACCAAAGGTGGGGATAATAGTAACAACCACCACACCTAGTTTATTTTCTCATATGGGGTCTTAGTAACTTGCTTTGTTTGATTTGGTTGGCTTTGATTCTGCATATCTTTGACTCCTGGGTAGCTAGTATTACAAGTGAGAACCTCAGTGTCTAGCCTTTCCACTTTCCCTTTTTTTTTGGTGGGAGGATGACAAGGTCTTGTTTAGACAAGGCTAGCCTCAAATGTGCAACTCTTAAGTGTTGGGATTACACCACCATGCCTGGCTGCTGCTGATTTTAATAACCTTAATATGTTCTTTCAAATTTTATTAGTATGAGTTAATTGTACAAAGGGGATTCATTGTGCTATTTACACTCATCCATATAATGTGCTTTAATCAAATTCACCCTGTCTGTATTACGTTCTTAAACTCCTTCCTTCCCTTGAACCTTGATAAATCTTAACTAAGGACAGGATACAATTTAAATATATGTCCTGTGCGACTTTATTTTACTTATTTGTGTGTAAGTGTATGTGTATATATGGAATTAGGGATTGAAATCGAGGCCTTAAGCCGGGCGCTGGTGGCTCACGCCTGTAATCCTAGCTACTCAGGAGGCTGAGATCTGAGGATCGCGGTTCAAAGCCAGCCCGGGCAGGAGAGAC